CCAATCAAAACTAAAAATTATTTTCTTAACATCCTCGAGGGAGAAGGGAAAACCCAACTCAAAAACCAGAAATAGGACTACAGTACAAAACTGCAACGAAGGAACGACAAGCAACTACCAGAGCATAGAGATAATAATGATGATAATTATAATAAAACCTCTTTAATCCCCCATAACATCTCCCCACCATGCTACCCTATGATTTTAATGAACAAGAAACGAAACTTTTAAACTGCTACATGAACCACATCCCCTACCACCCAACGCCACTTTCAGAGTACCAAATAATTTTAATTTCTCATGGTTTAGTGCAAATTTGTGTCAATCGGGAGTGTTTTTTTTTGTAATTCCTTCTACTGTTTGGGATATCATCTCCTTTTCCATTTGTACACCTTATTAATATACAGAATATACAAATCTCTATTTCCTACAAAAGAAAAAATGTTAATAATCTAACCTTCTCGTCCATTTCACCAGCTTTCTCTTTCAACTTCCGGATTGAAGCACGCAAGGACATCTGCTGATTGTTAAGTCCCCCAATAGTTTGATGTAATTCTTTCACTTTAGCATCAATCTCTTGAACAAAAGGCATTTCCCTTTCTCTTGCTTCGTTGTACTCTGCGATCTCTGCATTCAACTATAATACACAAGTTCAGCCAAATGGGGGGAAAACAAAAAAGACAAATATAACCACTTATTTCAACTTTAAACGAAAATAAAAAAAAAAAAAGGGCTGAAATCCAAATACCTGAGAAATTTTAACCTCCCATTCCCTTTGCTGGTCATCAAGGGTATTCAGCTCATTCATAACTGGAGCATGTAGATTGATTTTGGCATCTCTTCAAATAAAAATGTAACAGGCATAACTGAGGATCAGCATTATCTATTCATTTATGAAAAAAACATACTTCCATGGATATATGTCATGCTACATTCTAGAGATTCAAATAAATGGAACTTAATTAAAATACAATGAAATAATACATATATCCTTCCCCGTGCATGGAAGGTCCTGCCTATTCAAAAGAAAATGGAGCTGTTGGATGTAATTATAAACAATAAAGCATAAAATATAACAAATTGAAGTGATAAATTTTCGTAACTTCATTTGTCCATTCATTTAGTCATCACGAAGAAAACAAACCTACCGTAACAAGATAGAGAATTTACCAGATTATGGTGACCAGTGCACAATGTCATTGAATTACAAAAAAACATCAATTACGCCTACAATCGAATTAACAACAAGAAAGAAGCTGTAGCCTTCGTTTAATATAATTTGATGAGCCAAACTAACATAACTGGGGCAAACATAAGTAGTAGTTAAATAATAAATTCATCTAATTGAGATTTTACTAAAAATTGTTTAAAACCCACTACAATAGAAATCTTGGAAATGAGTAGAAATTACTTGGTTAATGCTACATACTCAGCTAGGTGATAAACCCATAAAGACCTTCTCGACCAAACTACTAGTCTGTTACACTAGTTGTTTTCATTTGTAAAGAGTAAAGGACGACATAGAGAAGAAGATAAAGGTCGTACTTGTGAATGCAAAAGTTCAGCATTGCGCTAAGGAAAATTTCTGTCCTGTCAGGGTCAGGTTTTATCAAATCTTTCAACGTAAACTTTTTTGGACAGTCCAGAGAGGCAATGACATGCTTTACTCTGTTGTACAACTTCATTGTCTGAACTGAATCCATATGCAGATCAGGGTTCTCGAACTGTTCCAAGGCAGCAAACTCAACTTGTCCTTGGTCTTCTCTGCATATATAACCGAAAACTATAAAATGTAACCTTTCTTAAAAAGGATCCGAGAATAGTGAAATAAAATAGTTCATAGTTACGACACTTCAAGGATCTAGAATGAAAAGGGAGAAGGGAACTTCAGAACACATTGATGGTAAATATTTTCTTCAAGATTAAAAAATAAATAAATAAATAAAAACCCCAAACGGCACAAGAACTTCACGTTTGAAAAATTATTGAAACTTTAGTGCAATGAAAAAGCATAAATGGGGTTAGAGCCCTTCTATTAACAATCAAGGATGAATGTTTTACAAAATCTAACTGACCCAGGCGATCTACACAAGTTCATCCTATTACGTACTAACAGTCTCATTCATCACTTCCATTTGGTCTATGCAAGTGAAGATAACAAGTAGCAATGACCTTGTAATATAAGACATGACACAATTTTTTTTCCCTCAAAAGTAGCTTGAGAATTTATCATCTCTATCCATTGTGATGAACCTAGAAAAACCATGAAGTCCAGCCGTTCACAAAAAACGGATTGGCAATATTTATAGCACCTGATGCTTACTACAATGCTAAATGACCAGCTAATGGGAAATAAGGTGATTGTTTGCTGAAAAGATCCAACACTTTAAAGGCCCAATGTACACTGCAATGAGTCCTTGGTAACCCAACAACGTATGGCATGGAGATCTTCTTCTATATCTTCTAGGGCTGCTGATGGCGAATATAAACCAAAATAACAACGGTAAAAATGAAATAAAGCAGAAAACTTTTACACAATGATTTCATCAGAATTTCCTTCTCTATCAGTAAATAAATAAACCACTTTTATGCTCCAAGGTAAGTTATAAAAGAACGTCATAAAGAGTGTTTACAAGAAGAACAATGACTCATGTCTAAACTAACACGACATTTTTAATTTCTCAACTCTAAAATCTCTGTTCAATTTCCATAACTTGAATTCTCTAAGAAACAAGAACACAGTAAGATACATATAAACTTTTGTTCATTCTCCTTCCTCTCAAAAATCATTTCAAATACTTGTTGATGAAAGTCTATAAGCAGAGGACTTACTCATGGAGAAAGTCAAGGTAGATCATCAAACGAGTGTAAAGATCTGAGACCAAATCTGGTGCGGGGTGAAGGAGGTCCCGCTCTGTTACAGCAGCAATTTGACACTGTGCTAGTAGCAACACAATATCTGCCCGTGGAAGCCTCGGAAATTCATACTTCGACATCACCAACTACTTCTCTTCAATACCATGGAAATTCAAAATTCAGGAGTAGAACAAAAATATTGCCGCAGTAATGGAGAAGACAACAAGATAGAAAAAATTGACATCAGTCTCACAAAATACAGAAATTGAGCATGGATCCTTATTCTCTCTACCTAAGAATTAAGGTAAGATTCCAAGGGGAAATTTCCATCTTTATACCACTAACAAATAAGTAAAAAAGAAAATATGCAAGGTTTTGTTTACACAAGCCCTAATTTGTGCTTTGAAAGGCATAAATGGAGATCGAGAGAATACCAATAAAATCAAGAGAGTATAGAATTAGTACAAACTAAACCCGCTATGAGGGAGGCTACAGCTAAATTAACTCTTAATTTTTTACAAGCGCCAGAACAGTTCCTCAGCTAAAGCCCCCGAACAATTCGAGCATTTCACCGACATCAGTCGGTATATCGTTCAAAGAATCAAATCCACAAGAAAAACTTCTCTTTCAGGACATTTCAAACGAATACACAACCAAATACACAGAATTTAAACGGAATATTACCGATAGAAGCGTTACATTCCATATGACAATACATAGCATGATGGAGATGGAAGAAACAGCTTACCTCCACAAAAGCTCAGAATCGAGCGAGAGAGGAAGGGATGATAGTGCGATTAATCAAACTGAAAGAAAGAGAATTGGGCAAAGAGGAAAGGGGCGAAACCTGAGAAAAGCGTCGGGCAAATCTCTGCAACACAGATAGCAATTATTATCGAAATGTCATAAGGCGGGAAAATGTATCTCCATGGATGGAATGAGCCGAAGCCCACCGATTTGATTCGGTTTTTGGTCAATAAGCTAACCCGAACCGAACCGAACCGAACCGAACCGAATCGAATAAGAAACTAGTTTTGGTTTTCATTTTCAAATAATTTTTTTTATAATCTCTTTTTGAATGTTATGTTTTTTTATTTAAAATTATAATATAAATATATAACATAATATAGGATCAATAATAATATTATTGAATAATTTTGAAAAACTTTTAAAACTAAAATCGACCCATTATTTAAAATAATATAATAAAGATTCTACTTTATTTTTAGTAACGAAATCCTTGTTTTCGAGTTTGAATTTTCAATTCAATCGATTAATAATGTAGACCACCGTGATGATGCCTTGTCAAAAAATGACATGGTAGATACTGATTTTTGTAGTTAGATTAATGCAATTCAACCTTACCTATCATAGTCGACAAAGATAGCATAGATGCCTTCTCTAACTTCATCCATAACTACTCATAGCATATAAAAAGACGTTAGGTTAGACATGATTATCTTAGATTCAAAACTCTACATACAAATAACAAATTTCTCGACCAGAGAGTTGAAACATCAACTTGTAACGATCATATATAAAAAAAACTCGCTTGATCACCGAAAAATGCGTGAGAATTTGGACGAGACGTCGGAATTCTCGCACCACTCCCAATCACTCTACCCGATGCCCACGCTACTCCAAATGACCTCCTATTCCTTCCGCCACGCTCCCAGAACTTACCTGCAAGGAAAAATGAGAGAAGGAACGAGAGAGAGAGAAACTCAATCTCAGATCCGCTAATGAGAGAAAACGAGAAGCATTCGTACACTATGACCGACAACACTCACGTATATCAATTATAAGAATTTTATAGTTAAGCTTGCTTTGGTTGGAGCAATGCTATGTTGGGTGATCTCTTTGACATTTTTTTAGGATGCATGTGAGTGAAAACAAAACATGTTGAAAGGACTCGTATTGATTAATGGTGATAGTCTTCACTCTTACAAACGGTGAGTAAGTAACATGACCATGTCGAAAACAAAACATGTTAAATAGCAAGAGGTGGAAGGCTTGTACGAGGTGATGAAATTGTTGGTGGAATGCTGGGAAGATGTGGAGAAGCAGTCGGTGGAATGCTAGGACGAGGTGGAGAAGCAGTTGGAGGAACGTTGGGACTAGGTGGAGAATCAGTTGGTGGAATGCTAGGACGAGGTGGAGAAGCAACTGGTATAATATATTGGACGAGGTGGCAAAGTAGTTGGTGGAATGTAAGGGAGGGGAGGCGAAACCACCGGAGGAATAATAGGAGGAAAAGGTGGCAATGATGGTGGTGGAGGACGGAGAGATGGGGAAGGAGGTGGTGGAGGACGAAGTCGGGGCGAAGGAGGAGGTGGTGGTGGAGGACGAAGACGGGGAGGAGGTGGTGGAGGACGTGGACGAGGAGAAGGTGGTGGAGGACGAAGTCGAGGAGGAGGTGGTGGAGGACGAGGTCTAGGAGGAGGTGGTGGAGGACGAGGTCGAGGAGAAGGTACCGTAGGGAGTATTGATGAAAGTTTATGGGCAAAGAAAGCATTTGTGAATTTGACATATTTGGGTGATGACGAGGTCGTTTGTTGAATATCACTGTCCCTTTCATTCACTTCAATGCTTAAAGAACAACATGAAGTGAGAAACACACCAAATCCATCTCCTTCGAGGCCCAACATCCTTACTACTGGCACACCGTCTCGTGTCCACCCTTTTCGGGGAACAACCTTCCTGCCGGCACATAGTCCGATGTCTGACTCTAATATCATTTGTAACAGTCTAAGCCCACTACTATTAAATACTGTCTTCTTTGGGCTTTTCCTTTCGAACTTTCCCTCAAAACTTTAAACACGCGTATGCTAGAAAAAGGTTTTCGCACCTTTATAGAGGGTGTTCCGTTATCCTCCTCATCTCGGATATCATATAGGATAATTTTTTTTTTTTTTTTTTTTTTTTTTTTTTTTTTTTTTTTTTTTTTTTTTTTTT